GTCAAATGTCATTTCACTACCATATAGTATCAAAAAGAAATATTAGATATCAGTGTTGTTATTTTATTGGGCTATTAATTACCATAAAAGCTTTTTTTTTTTCCTGGAGTGTACAGCAAACCATTTAAGGCCTAAGCCATTAACTAATTATTTCCAAGCTAATACAACAATATGATTGTCAATTAAATGTTACCTGGTAAATTTTCATGCCTTTTTTTTCTCCAGAAACTCGTAACAATGTGTCTAGATTTTAGAGATTTGTTTTCTTCAAAGTTAGTATTGATTAAGAAACTTGCAGCTGTTATAACATAGACTTGTTACTGAATTGGTTTTCATTCCTTAGAAGTTAGAATTCTCATGAGAAAGATGTTTTTTGTATTGCTGATTTCTAAAATAAAAAATTGCAGTACTGCCTCATTATAACACTGCTGTCAGGAGCCACATGTACCCAAAAGCGATATATGTGGGGGTGAGTTATAACCAACTAGTCAAGAAGACACTCATGCTAAACAAGTATGGATTTAACAGACTATTAACCCTATGACTACCAGCTACTAATCTGAGTAGTAGGTAACATTGCTCTAGTCATATTTCATTCCAAAAATAAAGTAGTGGATGTAGTTTCAGAAAAATAAAACATTTAGTTTTTTTTTTTCTACTATTTCTAAAAAAAAATTTACTTAGCTCTCTCTAACTGAGCTCAGTCAATTTGACTGAACACATGACCTTTTTGTACTTGTATAGAGTTTTTATGGATTTGATACTACTAACTTTTGATATAGTTTGTATATCTTCATGAAATTTGGCAGTCTTTCAGTAAATCATAAGCATTTCACATCCAAAAAATCTTATTTTTTAGTTAGGTATTTTTAATAAACTGAAAAGAGTATTTGTTTTGAATAGTCCATTTGTAAAGTGATTTTCATCTCAAAAATCTCAAATTTCATTTGTGTAATCTCTAAAACCTTCTAAATACATTTGAAATGTTATTTTTTCTACCCGAACTTTATACAAGGTTGAAAAATTTGACTGCTATTGTAACCACCAAAAATAAAAATCTAAATAAATCTAAATGACTTGGGATCAGCTGGAGAGAATTTAGACTTGTTTATTACAGTTCATTTTTTTACTAGGTTGTTCTCAACAGAGGATCCTCTTGATCAGCCACCTCCAGCCCCTTTTCTTCAGTTGGTTACTCAGGTTTGGGGGGGTCTCTCCTATTGCATTTGACTCTACTACTTCTTTGTTGGCAGAAAGGGTGGCAAGTGACTACTTGGTTTTTCCTCCTTCTCCTCCTTATATTGCTGTTAATGCTAGGAGATTTGCTGCTCAGTTACATGATAGGATAGCTATGCCTTGTCTCCCATGTTTATTTGAATAGCATGCTTTGGCTTGTCACTCCCTGGAGGAGGTATATTTAGATTCTCAATGGATGCACACCCTTTTGGACCTGTAGGGTTCTAGATTGGAATCTGTGATCACTTTGAACAGATCACTGTTTTCATGGATTCATCTTACTCTCATTATTGTCTTGAGATATTTATCTTTGGCCCAACTTTTGTTGGAAGCCTATCAATGTTCCCTTCAGCAATTTGAGAACGACTTTGGGACTTTGCTGAAGTCTACTTCCCTCAGATAGTCTTCTTCAGTTCATTCTCTGGTTTCTTGGCTTACTTGTTGTTGGGATTTATTGGGTAGAGACGCCTTGTTATAAAATGTTTTATTACCATCTTCTGCCCTCAGGGAGTTACAGGAAACTCCTTTAATCTATCCCATGTGGTTTGATGGAGTTCCAGAGACTTTATCATCATCACCTAATGCCTTTCTGGTGCTAATTTGGGAGTGTTCGCTCTTGGTGTTTCCTGACCTCCTCCTTCGGTTCCCAGGTCTATTAGTTTCTATAATAGAGTCCATCTGTATTCTTGAGGACCTTCGGCATGGATGGACCGTCAACAACAGTGTTGGTGACTATCCCGTGGGCAGGGGAGCACCAGGGATCCATGGGTACTTCATGTTCTGGCTTCAGGGTTGGTCATTCAATTTACATCACCTCCACCATTATCTACTTAACCTGTTGCCTTTTCACCTCCAACAGATCCACGACTAGTGGAGCTTCGTTCCCATCATAAGAGGATTGTTAGTCAAAAAGGCAGTAGAGAGGGTCGATCCCGTTCTTCTGGAATTTTATTCCCAATTCATTTGTTCTACCCAAGAAAACAGGAGATTGGCATCCAATCATCGATTTGTTCTTGACTCAACCAATTTTTAGATCCTCTTCGCTTTACTATGAAATATTTTCTCAACCTACGATGGCACTTTGCCCCAGAGCTCTCGATGACAAGTTCGATGTTACCAATACTTATCTCCATATTCCCATAGCGGAATCTTTCTGGAGGTTTCTCAGATTTGTACACAAGGGTTAGGCACTGCAGTCTTGCATCAACACCTTATGTCTTCTTCAGAGTTGTACGAGCTTTTTCTTGTCATCTGCATTCTTTGGGTCTGTGCACACACACCATTATATGGATGACTGACTCCTTCTGGCACAATCCCATCGTTTAATAGAACACTCTCAGATTCTCCTTTCAGAAGCCACAAAAGCAGGCTTCCTTATTAGACTAAAGAAATCTATTCTGTCACTGATGCAATATCTTGTCCATCTGGGTGTGTTTTTCAATACTCATTTAAGTCAAGCTCAACCAACCCCTATAAGGTTACAAGCCATGGAAATAACCATCAGGCTTTTACTTATGTCTCCTTCTACTTTGTGGATGGTTCTCTCTCTTTTAGGGATATGAGGATCCGTTGAACCTCTCATTCCTTTGGAATGAGTACATATGAGGTCCCTTCAGTGGTCACTATGTGACCATTGAATCATTCATTACTACCCTTTGGATCATCCTGTCTCATTACTCAGAAGCAACATTGTCAATTGCGAATGGTAGTTGGTTAGGAACTTATTTTATGGGGAGCTTATCTTCAAGGTCAGGAGTTCCAGGGTAGTTGGACAGAAGACGAGTCTACTCTTTGTATCAATGTTCTCGAACTCCTTGCAGTACACCGTGCTATCGTTCAAGGTTGTCTCTCAAGGGAAAAAATTGTAATGGTACATTTCGACAATTCCATGGTGGTTTCTCAGATTTCTCGTCAAGGAGGCACACATTCTTGAGATCTTTGTTTTCGTACCTTGGATCTTCTGTACTGGGCTCATTCTCATCATATCAGCCTTTTAGCATGCCATGTTCCAGGATGATGAATTTAATTGCAGATCACTTGTCTTGACCCAACCAATTTCTTTCCAATGGAATGAATGCTACATCATGTGGTTTTTCAGTGGATTTGCTTTCAGTTCAGGTCTCCAACGATTGATGCCTTTGAAACTCATTGGAATTCTCAGCTGAAGTTGTTTTGGTCTCCAATACCTCATCCTCAAGCATTGGCAGTAAATGCATTCAATTAGAACTGGACAGGTTTACATCTGTATGCTTTTCCCCCAATTTGGCTATTGTCCTGGGCTCTGACTATGGTTTGTTCCACTTCCTGTCAAGTTCTCTTAGTTGCACCATATTGGCCAGCTCAAATGTGGTTTCCATTTCTTTGATATCTGCAGGAATGTCCATCTCTACCTCTTCCATACTGGCAGTCTTTGTTGAGACAACCTTGATCAGACATTCTCCACCCAGATGTTCGGAAACTCAATCTTCATGCTTGGAAGTCATGCAGTCCTTTGTCTGACATAAGGGTTTAACTTCTAAGGTTTCTCTGTATTTATCTAATCTCTCCATTGGCCAACCACTGCCATTTACAATGGAAATGGAATACTTATTGTATTAAAGGGAATTTAAACCTTCTTCATCCTAAAGTATCTACCATATCCCATTTTCTGACTTGGGTATTTGAGAGGGGTCTTGCTTCGTCGACAGTGGTTTTATATAAGGCATCTTTATCCACTATATTTCGGAATTCTAAATATCAGAAGGTTTTTGAATACTCATTACTATCATGTCTACTCAAATCCATTTATATTTTTGACCCAAACGACCTTTTTAATTACCAAACTGGGATTTTACAGTTGTTTTACATACATTGTCTCATCCCCATTTGAGTCCTTAGCTTCATGTTTTTGTTTCACCTTTCTATTAAATTGTATTTTTTATTGTAGAACCCCTATTGTAAAGCAAAATATTCCATTTAAACTAAAACAAGAAAGTAGACTATTGTAGGCTTTACTAAAGTAAGGTGTCTGTTAAAAAGTATCTGACAAGTAGCTTACAGGGTAGACACAAACATTTTACACTTTTACCCTGTTGTCTGATAATAGAAGAACAAAGTAAATTGTAACATGAAACCATGCGAAACATATTTATCAAAACTTGTATCTCACAATAAATTATTTTTAACTGAATAATTTTGATGAACTTATTTTATATAGCATTTAAGTTAACAAATTATTCAAGTTCAACTACAAATAATTAGAAATCAACATTTAACTGTTGCATAAAGTTCTAAAAGTTATTCATAAAAATCTTGAAAAATGAAAAATTCTGGATCAGTTCTTCACTTGATTCCACCCAGTGGTAAGTGTTTAATAGGGTATTTTTCTGTAGCTAACTTGCTTGTCTACAAACTTGATATATATCTAGTGTAACATATACAAACTGGTTATAGGAACTGTTAAAGTACATTTATTTGATTATGATTTACTTGTTTGCTGATCAGAAAAAGTTAGTTGAAGTTATTGTTAATGCCAAAATATAGATAAAATCTTATGTTACAGTTGAGCATTTTATTTCACAATATACATAAATGGTTGATTAAAGACTAGTAAAGATACAGAAGTGTTAAATAGGCAAAAGTTTTATAGGGAAGTATAGGGGTTAAATTATTCATACTTTATTTACTGATCTATTTTTTCACCTACCTCATAAATATATAGCTTTTGTTCTGATTTTCTAATAAAATCCAATAAAATATTTCATTTGTTTTTGTTTTTTTTTTAGCACCAAGAAAGACAAGGAGGGACAGGGGTATGTAATACTAAGACATACAATTCATGTAGTCTTTTTTCTTTTCTTTTTCTTTCATACATGAATTAGAATAGGTTGGACTTTCTTATAGTGTTGTATTCATCATATTCAATTTTGTAAAGAAAAACAATTCAGACCCTAGAATGAGACTGAAAATACACATTGAGTATTAGGAATCCATATTTTTTATTTATCATTATATTTTTTTAAATAAAAATAACTAAAATGTAAAAATTATAAACTTCTTAGCTTAGTCTAACAAAACTTTATTAAAAAAATGTATAAAAGTTATACTAGCTTAAGTGGCTCTGCAAAATATGACGCTTCATGTTAGCTATGGAAAACTGGTAATGGGCTTCTGCTGTGATTTATTTATTTTTAATAAGGATTACTGTTCCAGCAGTACAAATATGGCAATAAAACCATAGAATTAAAAGAAAACAGGTGTGAAAAAGGATAACAGTTGAAAGAATGTTAAGGTAAGTTATTTGAAAGTTTCTGGACAATATTGCAGTCAATACAGAGGAAAATAAGGTATTAATCATTTCATTTCATATTTTTAAACTTTTCTTTTCAATGTACATTAATAATTTCTCTACAGAAATAAAAAAATAAAGTCTTATGAAAAGACTTTTGATATTCATTTAGGTTCTAGAGGTTATAAAAATGAAATGTGAAAAGTGTAAGTTGAAAAAAGTATTTTTATTCTTAGCATGAAAATCACCTTTCACTCAGACAAATACTTTATTGAATTTTTTTTATGTGTGTGTGTATAACAGACTCCTAATATTTATTAAATGTTTGCCAAATTTTTTGAAGGTACCTTTAGTAAATTCACACTTATAGTATGTATAGTTTTACAGTTTCAAGGCTGGTGAAATCGACCAACTTCAGTCTTACAGTTAATTACTGTTATCAAAATTTTGTTGAAATTTGTGACTGATCACTATGGTGGTTGCTGATGTGAAACTATACTTTATAATAAGCTAATGAATAAAGTACCTGGCTGTCTGGTCTTCCTTGTTAACAGTTATGTGTGAAAATTAACAACACCTATTGTTGTACCAGGAGATGGGAGGAAAACTTATTCATACAATCTGTTAAATAGATACAGTAGTTTTATTTTCATCAAAGAGCTAGCTTCTGAAACATCATAAGAGCTCATGACTTTCAGTTTAGTTGAAATTAGTTTTTAATATTGTCCACATAATCATCATTGGGAGAAATCTCTGATTTTACTTTCATATAGCTGTCTGTCATTGTAATTATTGAGAGAATCCAAAATCTTTTTACCTGTTTGTTTATATTTTTTCTTCTTTGTACATATCAGACATTATCTTATGTACTTATGAATTTGCTCAATATGTATCCACACATTTTGTACTTTTAAAATCAGTCAGGAGGAGATTTGCAGCTGTAACATCAGCCTGCAAAACTTGATCTTCAAACATTTTGTTAAAGTGAGAAGTTTATGAAACAGATTTCTCCTAACATGTGGTTTGATCCTTTGTCCATCAGAGTAAAGTTACACTACTTGTCTAATGCTCAAATCTAGTCGTTCTGGATGTGGAGCATATATCTTATTAAACACATTTTCTTGTATGTTTTTTTATTTAATATGTAATTCTTTAGTTTTTATTATGTGTTGTAATAGTTCCTATAATTAAAATGTAAATCTAAACATCAAAACATTCAATGAATAATCGTGCTTGGAGTAAAAAGGCTGCTTCTTATTACTCAGTTTATGTTTTTCACCAAAAGCAGTTCATTTCTTCATAATTTGTAAAGGGTGAGATTGAGAGCTTGATTGACAATAATAACTGCAAAACTGAATGATGACATTGTTAACTAAAGGTATCTCTATACCTGTTTTTTTTTATTATTATTAAACTAAACAAAGCGTCAAAATATAAGAGCAAATGGCAAGGGATGTACATGGATTGACAAAGTAAGGTTTTGCATAAATTATTTAATACATGTTATGTGGTATCCATATCATATTTTTCTTTCCATATCCAGTATATATCATCATGATTCATATCAGCCTATCTAAATTAGTATTGAACTGAGTTTGGGACACAAAAGGATAGTATTACTATATCTCTATTTCTAGGTCCTTAAAACCTGGTTGTTGGTTCTCAGAATATTTTGCAAAAGTCCTTGAATTTTTTTCTGTTGATAAGTGTATGAACATTGTTATCTTATGATGACTTCATGCAAATTAATGCTTTCCAAACAACTTTTATAAAAGGTAAAATAAAACCTGCATTCCAAAAGATACTTACCCCCACTGACACTTATAGCTATTACTCGACTGCCAGGGTTTCTACTTTGCCCATCTAAGCATTGGTCTGATATTTTCTCGATTGCTTCAGTCTTTTATACCTCACTCAATTGCCCTTAGCAATATTTGTCTTGTGATACTCTTCATCTACATCAATACGCCCTCTATCCTGGTATTTCATATAAGCACCTCGTTCACATAATTTTATCACTTTTTCTCGACAAAGCGTCACTAATGGGTTCCTCAGTATTATGATCATTTGGAGATACTTTGAATGTTATCATGTTATCTAGCTGATTTTCATAATAATAAAAATAAGAACATTTTTCTTCTTCCAATTGGCAGGCCAATTATGTTATGAATTCCTGGATTATTATTTCCAGCATGGAGGCAAATTGGTTCCCACCTATAAATTGGGTGGTAGGTCACTCTCGGTTGAGACTGTCAGTGATTTTATTCGTAGTGAGATGGAGACATATATTCTGATCTGTGGTGGTCCTTCGAGGGCTCTGAGGCTGCAATTGAGGGCAATTCTGGACTTTTTGGGGAGACTTTAGATTCATATTTGCTTTTTCCTGTGCCTTCTTTTCGATTTTCAGCCCCTCTGTTGGACAGTGGTAAGTTTACGGAATCTCAGCGCTGGGGTCCGGGTCTCAATTCCTTAGGGTGGATGCATCATATGGCCCTAAGTTGTTCAAAATGCTGTTCCAATCAGTGGTAATCAACACAGTCCTTAATTGACCTATGACAAACAAAAAGGAGACTACTTTGGGATAAGCTGCCTTTGATTTGTTTTTCTCCTGTTGGTTCTTCAAGTGTGTGTGATGTTTTGGCCTCTTCCTGGGAGTGAATTTTTAGTTTATTTCTCAATACATGGATATTGTGGCTCATGCTGGAAGGTTTAATTCTTAGTTACATGAAGAGACAGTTAGGCTTTATCCGATACATTGTTGGAACTTCATGATTTATCCTACTACCACCAGGTGGAAGCATTTTTCCAACTCTCAAAAGTATATCTGCTCCTCAAATTTTGGAGTTTTGAGGCAGAGTTTGTACTTCACCTATATAGGTCTATGTCCCCTGATGGGACAGAGTAAGTCTACGGACTTAAAACTAAATCTCAACATTTTGTTTCCTTTCACTTTACTTTGTTAGAAGTCTCTCTGGATCACCAACTTCATTGATGATGAGCTGGATCCATTGTTAGCATGCATGTTGGTTCTATTTTCACCTTCTACATTCCTCCCTGTTATTGTTGGAGTCTTGAATTTCATCTGATGCTACAGGGGGTCATAGTTTTGCTCTTATTCATAAGTTCTGACTCCCAACATCAGCCCCTTGGTACATTGGTACTCAGAATAAATTTTGTCTATATCTTAGGTTACTACTGCTTTGTCAGATCACCAGCAGTGTTGGTTATTATTGTATATCTTCAAGGGCCATTAGGGCTCAGTTCCAAGAATTTCTGAACTTGTGGTAACTTTAACTGTATATCCAGGAGCTCTGGAGGTTCTTGGATCACAATTGATCATTCAGTTCACATCTTCCCCACTATTATCCACCATGTCATTATTATTGAGAGGAGGTTGAACCATTTTCAGTCATTAGTGTCATTTTTTGACAGATGTTTTTGCATCTTCCACAATCGCCATTTTTTACAGCAGCCTTATTGACTACCATTCGATTATCGTGATTACATATTTTTTGAGTCCACAGTACTTTCCAGTTTCCGCACATTTTTTGGGTGATTGGTCCCAAATGACCATTCCAGTCACCTACCTGATAGATTAAGGTTATGTGTTCTTTCTATATACCTGGTTGTGTCCTGACTGTTATATACTATGTATCCCCTTTACCTGCAGGTCTATTTTTTGTGGCTGCTGACCAACGAACATCCTATAAGCTCAGCAGGTGGTATTAATATACCATCACCATACTGGATTACCACTCATGGACTATCATGAGTAAAGATAAAGGGGATCCTGCCTGTCTCAGCCAATCACTGGATTGAATAAATTGGGGTCGGTTTGCTTTAAAAAATTTAGGGAACTTGGTTCACTTATTGCACTGTTTCCAGAGCACTGTTCCTCGGGGCTTCTCAATGCACATTACCCTCCAGATTCTACTAGTGGAGCTAAGGTTTTCCAGTTTCCAGTCACTGGAATGGTGGACAGAGGCTTTACTTTCACTGTGTTAGACTGAGTTCCTCCATTCTTGGAGAAGAGGATGAAGTTGGGGGCCCTCCTACTTGGGTACCTGGATGTTTTTTACCAGATGTAGGTAGGACCAGCACCAGCCTACGTGGGAGCCTACTCGTAATACCGGTTCAGATTTGATGTTTGGCTGTCAGGTTGAGGTGTGCATGGCCCATCTTTTTGATCAATATCAGTTCAGTCCAATTTTCTTGGAGGGGGTCAACTATCTCCTCATAATTCCAAATGCTGGTTGGTCCCATCCTGGGTTATTGGATGAGCACAATTGTTCTATGTCCTCCCCATAATTCTGGGGGAAGTGGAATACTCCTTGCTCACTCAGTTGGGGAGTGAGGATAAATGTTCATATTTTCAGATTGGATTAGTTCTCTTCCTTTGGTTGAGTACAGCATACACGATCTCATCATTCTGAGCCTGTGGTGTTGCTTTTCAGGCTTCATCAGGTGGAGGAAAAGGTTTGTCCCCTTTTGGTGTTGCTTATTATATGCCTCTCCTGCCCGTCC